TTAGAACAAAAGGAAAGTGTACGGAGTATTTTAGAGATGTACTTAATCGATCGCAAATGTCGTTTTGTGGATATATCTGTTTATCTCGACGTATTTTGCAGGAATTTTTAGCATGCGTTTTCTCGTTTCTGACGTCATTAAAAAGAGATGGATGATGCGACTCCCCAGGAGCCTTAATTCAAAATAAATCCGACGTCGCGAGTTAAAGATTGAAGGGAATTTCGGGAAGACTGAGACTATTTAACGCGCCTGATATGAATTCTCGAATCTTTCAGCGATCGAATCGGATCCGCATGTAGCTTCATCCTCGTCACCCTTCAACTCATCCTCGAATTCGGCCGCGACGTTTCCGGACGTATCGTCGAAAACGAACTTCGACGCGAACGCAGAAGCGACGAAGGTCGAGGAGCACCACACGCCCGTGCCGAGTGATCATCGGGCCAATTTCGCCGATTCGAGCGTCGCGTCGAACGCATCCGCGGATAACGCGGGGACCGATTCTATCGACTACTCTCAAACCACGGACCAACCCTACACACCGGTGCCGGAGGGCGCCGACTCCGAGCAGGCGTGCGAGAACGATCGAACCTTCAAGCCGAGCAAAATTCCCGTTCTCAAAGCGAAGCACATAGAAAACGCGGGCAACACATCGAACAGCGACACCTCGGTGAAGCGCGCGAGTCCCGCGGCGGAGGAGTACGACATGAGCAAAACGTCGTTGAACGCGTATTCCGGTATACCCACGTCGCCGATCACGGGGAAGAAGTATCGCAGTCCGTTGTCGACGCCGGCGAAATCGTTAGATCGATCGAGGAAGATGACGAACGGGAACGTCGCAAACAACAATTCGTGCGACAACGTCGATTCGCCGGACGTGCCGAGCGTCGTGAGCCGGCCGAACGTCACGAAGAACATCGCCGAAGAATCGAGCGTTGCGCCTCCTGCTATCGTCGTGGCCAAGAGCGAGACAAACTCCGGCCGAAACACGCCGAATTTCAACAACAAGCCTTCGGGCGACGCCGAGTCGAAAGATCTAGCGACCTCCACGTCGAACGAGACGCTCAATTCAGAGAGAAAGCCGAGGTTCAAGTGGATGTTCGGTCCACACAAGAACGCCAACGTGGTGAGTATTACCCATTCGAAAAAACAGAGGACGAGACTGTAGAATGTAAAGAATTGTATTACTAACGATTTTCTAAGACAAATAAACTTCGATGCCAGGAAAGTGATCGTTCTATCGTCTGAAAATTCGAATCTTATTTGAATTTTTCTTGGACTTTTTCGCTATTCGAATAACGGAGATTTTACTGAATGAAGAAAAGGGAGAGTGAAGCGAAGGTAGAAAATTAGCAATTCATCTCTCTGCTTATGATGGTCTTTCTAATGAAAGATTTTCCTTCACAGCTGCCCGTTCAAGTAAGGAAGAATCCAGGTCTCGGTTTCAGTATAGCTGGCGGGGTAGCGGGTGCGGAAACCGTAAGTAGATCCGCGGATAATTACGCGTCCCGAGGCAAAGGAAAGAGCGAAAGTGCTCAATCTTCTGCTTCGCCGCAGGGAATAATCGTGACGAAGGTGAATCCTGACGGGCCAGCTCAGGGTACTCTTCGGCCGGGAGACAAGATCCTAGAGGTAGACGGTATCGACTTCACCAAGTCTGATCACAATAATGCTGTTGCCGTTCTTCGAGCTACCGGTGCCGTTGTGTCTATGATGATAAGTCGCCACCAATGATTGTAAGTTATTCGAGAACTTTTTTCTAATTCTTTTAGATGACGTACGATCGCTTTACATACTTCAGACTGAGTACATTTTATATATATATAGCTCTAACACGTATAATATATATACATACATATATTTAAATATATTCTTTAATCAAATCCGCAAGCAAAAGAAGAAAGAACAAATATACGATATACGTACGTTGTGATGCGTCACATACATACACATACACAAACACAACATACATATATACGCGCACACACGTTCGCGAGAAAGAATGAGAGGAATATACATACATATATATATATATATTTGTGTCGACTAAGATTGTAAACAAGTTAGGTTACTATCGATCGTTCTACGATTAATGCAGGACATGAAACGTGATCCCCAGTGCTAGGATATAAACGATAGAATGTTATTTTTAACGACTCTCGTCTCGTTCGCGGGCGGATCGAGTGATTACGCGGCGCCGCCCCTCCTCTTCCCCCCTGTGGCATAATATAGCTCCTTCGAGTAAACAGTTAGAACAATTATGTCTTTCCCGAATCTTTAACTCCAGGATGCGCGGCGTCCACGTTACGACGACAATGTGTTGATTGATATAGAATAGTTTTCATTTGTAACCTATACTCTCGCGCGCTCTCCCCGTCGAGAGAGCCGACAATGTGCCAGAAACAAAGTACTATTTATTATCCATATACATAACATATAAAGAAAAGAAGATATATATATATATATATATATATATATACTATATGCATATATATTATATAAACAGATTTATATCTGTAAAAGTTGAACGAGGTTCCCACAGATTTCAGCGGTATAAACAAGTCTCCCTTTCCCTCTATATCTCGATTGTTTCTCGCGTTGAAAAGAAAGGGTAAAGGGATTTCTATGTACCACCGCCGTGAGAAACGCGCCGTGCTCGTCATCCGTCGTGACCGAATTCATTTTTCACGCGCCCCACGAAGCGTATCTCTATTACGTTGTTGACTGTATAGTAGTTGTTATTGCATCGTACGGCAAACCTATAAATTCTATCTTGTTCGATTATCCGGGAAGAGGGTAGCGCACGCGAGCGTGTTGAATAATATAATAACGGGGATAACGGAATTGGCGCTTCTCTCTGTGGGAGCCTCGCGCCGCTCTTGTGTATAGAAAGAGAAAAGAAAACAAAAAATATTCTTCTATGTGCCGTACTTATTATCGATAATGTTTATACTCGTGTGTTGGTGTCCACAGACGTTTATTAACGCGTTCCTTCGCGACGCGGATTATCACTGCAGACTACCTACTTTTTCGACCTTACCTTTCTCGAAGCATTGATCGAAAGCACCGTCTCTCGTCGATCTCGAGCGTGCCGTTTGATCCTTAAGCATCAGGTCTACGATTACGTTTACATGGCAGCCTAAAAGCAGTAACATTCGACGATACTAAAATCTAAGTTCATCTGATCAGCTAGATCGCTCTCAGATCAAGTTAAAAACAAATAATTCAAACTGAAAAGTTGACAATTCTCGATGTTGTAATTGCTAGTGTCGCATATCACGTAGTATAGTTGCAACATGATTGTTCATACGAAATGTAACACCAAAGCTACAGTTACAACATGTTACAGCTGTTCAAACGTAGACTACACGGATGTTATTAGACCGATTTTGAGGCTCCTGTGTAATCTTGACGTCAGAAACGAGAAGATTGAAAATTCTTGCGAAATACGTAGAAATAAAGAGATGTTTCCATAAAATGGCATCTGCAATTGATTGAATTCTTTTTGCTCTAACGTATTTTGCAAAAATTTTTATCGTGTATTTTCTCGCATCTGATATTATCAATCGAGAATTCCGCGGCGAGGAAAGAACCAGGAGCCTTAAGTTGCCATGTAAACGTAGTCTATGTTGTATCCATTGATACTCGAGGCGTCGCCTCACGACGCGTGATTATTTCGCATTTATTTCAACGCTGCTTCAGCAACTTCCGATGCAACCACGTCTGCGATAATAGACTAAGTCTGCATTCTATAAAAGAGAAAGAGGTGCTCAGAGGTTGGACGTTTCGCACAACACACACACACACAACACAAATAATACATACACTGTGCGTTTCACACTGTTTTGTAAGTAGCGTTATTTAGTTTTTTTTATCGTTAATATTGTTAGATACTATCGACCATGAAACGTCTTTCGGTAGTGACGCGACTGGCTCTAGCGGAGCCCGGTGAATTGCCCGTGAATGATTGTTCGCGATTCCGTGGCGAATCATGTCCCGCGAGGGATGCGCCTGTACCTCGTAGAAATCATGTTTGTCATGACACAGCCGAGCGTGACATCGTATCGCACGAAGTCGACAAACGAGATCGCGTTCTCGCGCGTCGCCGATGTCACGTCGCGATTCAAAGGATGGCTGATCAGAGGCGAAGGTAGAGGAGCGAGAAAAGGTTCTCGCGGTGCGGAACGAAGAGTGAAGGAATGGAAGGGCTGAGAGAGATGATATGCGATAGCACAAATGAAATCGTTATTCCGTTATACACACTTGCGTTTATGTATGTAACGAGCTTATTATCCGATTACGAGTCCACGAGACGGCGTATGAGCGAAAGACTATCTAGCTACCGGACGTGCCGGAGGTGTCCCGCGGTTTTTCACGGATTTCCTCTCGTAAATCTGTTCTGTCGCGTTGATACTTGTTGAGTGAGGATATCATGGGAATAGAAATTTGGAATCGTAAGCTCCTAGAAGGAGAGAAAAGTTCCGGGACACCTCCTCGTGTACGCGATTCTGTCGAGGGACGATACCGAAACGGAGCGTTGCACGAAGATGGAATATCGTTGTTGCAAATTTAGTGTCTGTATTCGTATATCTTTGTTCGGTGTTACGTACGATAAGATTTTACGGTAAGTTGTTGCGGGCGTGCGAAGCGAGTCAGAGAAGCCGCGTCGTGTCTTCGATTTTCGAGAGAGAGAGAGAAAGAGAGTGTGTCAGTAGGCTAATTTCTAAGCACCTAGTCATGTGTCGAGAGAACGACAACAGACAAATGTTAGTGCCCTTCGTCAGTTTGATTTCTCGCCGACGGTGTATCTACGATATCCGCGGCGTTGCTGATTCGTAACTTCGCGTAGTTTCCGAGGAAAAGTGGCGTTATTGCGGCCACGACGACTCGAGCTTCCGATTTAGAGTCTACCTATAGTCCTCTATATACTTCTTCTTCTTCTTCCTCTCGTTTCTTCCTTTAATTTATACATGTATAAATATTCGCGCGGTTGATTTTCCAGCCCGTTGGCTCGTTGTTGTTCTTATCCTCGGCGACGTTTCGTCACCGCTGACGCTGTTGCATTTAATCGATCGATTCCATAGTTGAAACGTTGTAGAGAGAATGTTTATGAAAGAGAGAGAGAGAGAGAAAGAGAGAAAACGAAAGCTAGAAAGAGGATGTGAGGGGGAGGGGGGAATACGTATCGCTTAATGTCGACGGAAGAATCACGACTTTTATGGACCACAAGCACACATATTGTACTCTTTTCTACTACTTCTAACTAAACAGACTGACTACCTTTTTGGATACCTATTGTGTACTTGAATGACGCTGCGTCGTCTGCGTCGGGGATGATTAGGGAATCCTGACGATTGAACGTGTGATTGAAAAATCTCCAAATTGTACCCATGAGTGTATACTATAAGTGACTACCTGTTGCGTATCTAAGCGAAACGAGAAAAGCAATCAAGTGGTCGTACCTTCGTGCTCCTTTTGCCATACGCCCTCGTAATTCTCATCGTTTTGTTCTCGCGTCGTTTCGATCTCTCAGGTGCGACCCGAACTTACTGTTTCTTTTTCGTCAGCGGCGTATGGCGTAGTGCCAGGATCTCTTTTTCCTTTACTTTCTCATCTCGTCCCTTTCGTTTTGTGTATTCTTACTTTTTATCTTCGAGTCATTCGACGAGCGAGCATTGACGTCGATTCTTGCGTTCTTTCCCGATGTTCGCACGTCTTTAACGTTTCGATGATGTCTGCGTCTTGCAGTACAACCACTTCGTTAGCGCACCATACGTTTCATTGCGGTTGCCGTGACCGGTTGGGGTAATTTACCATGTGTATAGTTTGTAAAACCGATCGATGTACAAAGAAATACTCACGTTCTACGTTCGGACGTCATCTTCTGATAATTACTGTGCATTTTTGGATATGTTAGCGGAAGATGTCTGACCCTCAAACGAGAAGTCCTAGTTGGTTGTGCAGCAATAAATAAATTAATATTTACGTAAAAGGGGAGCGTAACGATTTATTGTTCCAACGAATATAAAAGCATCTTATAACGTAATCCTCAATTGTCCTTAAAAACGTTCCATCCAATTACCGTAAAAAATTCTCTTGTCTATTATAAGTATACATCGCCTCTTCTCAACCTGTCTCCATTTGACATAAATTATCATGAACACACGATAGCACGACCTGCCGACTTCGCTCGTCGGACATTCTCACGCGCCTCAAGAGATTTTCCCCAAGTGTGTCTCTCACGCACCGATCATCAGCAGTTGCGGATTCTCTACGTAGTGTTTCCACAAATTTGAGAATTCTGCCACCGTGACGCCGTCGAGGACACGATGGTCCGCGGACCAGCTGACTGCCATCACATTCACAGCCACCACGTTGTCCTCGTCGTCGAATCGTGGCATCTTCTGCGCCCGTCCGAACGCGCCGATCATCACTTGTGGCGGCAAGATTACTGGCTTTGTGTACGTACCACCGACCTGTCGTCATTAAACGCTTTGTAATACTCTGAATTTCTTGGAATGAAATTTCAATCAAAAAATAGTAAAAGTATCAAATTCTAATGATTTTTCATTAAAGTGAATTCCCCACTCTGATTAGATGAGTGAGTAGACGACTTCCACTCGAAATTGAAGAGTGAATTTGATGTACTCCATCGTCACAGGAAAAAGTCCACTCTATTGAAATATTTACTCTTGCAGATAAAGAATCCACTCTGAGTGAAGCATTCATTCTTATAATTGCGCGTATCGTTATTTTATTTACTATCGCCTCGAGTGAATTTTTAGCCACTTTAAATGAGATTTCACTCCAAGAAATTTAGAGAAAATAAACTTATTATTCTTTATATTATCATAGATGATTTTTCAGGAGCTTCAATAATCAACCTTTTATTAGGCTCGTTAACGGATGATGACGTGACAAATTGAACTCACCATGCCTATGTTCGACAAGGAAAAGGTCGTGTCGGTCAAGTCGCCGAGCGGTATTGACGTCTTCTTGCCGAGTTCCTGAAGCCTGTTCAATTTCTTTGCGATCTCGAGTATACTCAGGTTCTGCACATTCTTGATATTTGGCACCACCAGACCATCCGCCGTGTCCATGGCTACGCCGATGTTGTGATTGTCTATGAGACGCAACGTCTGATCTTCCTCGTTGAGCCAAGCGTTCAGCTTGGGATACTGCTGCAGCGCTCTCGAGGCCGCCTTGATGAAGAACGGCATGAGAGTTAGCGAAACGCCCAGTTTCCCCAACTCATCCTTCACCTCGTTTCGGCAGCGCATCACTCGGTTCACGTTGCACTCGTCGCTATACACGAAATGCGGTATGCTCTGCAAGAAATCCGCAAACTCATTAGTCATATCTGCGATTGCTCTAATACATTTAACAGAGATGTATAAAATCGGAAAGGAATTGTTAGAAAGAGAAACAGAGAGAGAAAGACACGAAGTCGAAAGTCGAATTAAAGCAAAGCGCTGTAAATATAATCAACCTTCAGATAAGTATCGTTAAACTATCAAAAACGTTACTGCGTTTAATACTGAAATATGGAATCACATCTCATATACAAAACAATATAATGAAAATGTGACTCTTCGAAATTTTATTAATGAACGCAATGATCAATGAAATAATAAATTTTTTATGAGTAGGCCACGTGGGCTCTGCGCTGCCAGAAGAATAAGATTTATCATATCTTCTTCTGGCTGAGATCAAGTAGAAGTAACGTTTACCAGAGACTGTGTCATGGTTTTCCACATGTGTTTCGTGTATCCCTTCATCGCAACCGTCTTGCCCGTTACACTTCCAAACGTCTGCTCTGGAACATCCTGCTTGGTCAGTTGATTCGGATCTACAGAGATCTTCTGTAAATGTACGAGCATGTCCTCCTTCAACACTCTTCCACCTTTACCAGTCGCCACCACGTCCATCAAATTCACTTTATTTTCCTTAGCTATTCTTCTAACCGCCGGGGTTGTCAGAATTCTTGGCGGGATGTAATCCATCGATTCCATACTGTCCATCTTCTCATCCTTGCCCAAAGTGTCTACCGTCTGATCCACATCGTTCTTTCCACTATTTTCTGCGTCTTTCTCAGCGCTGCTCACTGAGTCGTCCTCTATCTCGATGTCCAATAACGCCTCGCCCACCAAGGCGACGCTATCCACCTTGTGACGCAGAGTCTTGATGATGCCATCGTAGCGACTTGTGATCGTCACGGATGCCTTGTCGCTCTGTACCTCGCAAAGATTGTCAAACTGACTGACTCGATCACCAGGCTTCACGAACCTGAAATACCGCGCGTGTCAATGCGATTGCACACTTATCAATGCAGAAGGACAACGGGCACTCTGTCCGATTGCAACAGGTATATCTTTCTCAACTGTTTCTACTCGTATTTTTTTCGCATTTCTCTTTTGTAAAATGTTCAGTTCAAAATCTCGATAGTTTCTCTTTAATCCTAGATTTCCGCGAGCTTTTCTCTTCAGCTCGGAATTGCGAATCAGGAAGAAGCCAGATTCCAAAAATTCCGGATTCACAGAGAAAGGATTTCGAGTTCGATCGGATAAAGCGAACTTGCCCTCCTAAATCGGGCATTTAAACACGCACTTTTAACACCAGTGCTCGAGTGCGAGAAATTAATGCGTTTTGCAAACATACCATTCCTTCACTGTAACATCTCGAATTCCTTCACCGATGTCTGCTAGTTTGAACGGCACCACGACGCCTTGGCGAATTGGACTGATCGACAGGAATCGACATATCGGCTCACGTGATTTCTCGGCCTGCACACAACAGAGTAACTGAGATGGCCATACGCCTACGCGAGAACTTTCAACTTGTTTTACTCAAGGAAAATATCTTTATAGCAAAAATACCTTTATTTGCTCAACGAAAATACCTTTATATGAGCTGATGTGGCGCATGAAAATAGAGTTAGCGGAGCTCTCTCGATAACTACATTACTGACAAGACTCGACAAGACTCACAATGTATACTGTTGGCATATGGCGCTTGAGAAAAACATCGGTTCCGTTACAGCTGTAGCTGACGATTACGTGTATTCGCTGCAAACCAGTTCGGACGCTCTACTCACCAATCTGGAGATGGTTAGTAACCTCCAAGAAAGAGCCATCGACTGCTTTGTCCAGGAGAACGAAGATGATGCACGTGGAAACGGCAGAACAATCGATACGCGCTCTTATCGCACGTACACGTGAGGTATATTTATTCACGATGGCAATTCAGCAAATTATGCAATCCAGCACCGATAACAGCACCGATAGTACGGCATGAAGAACAGCTCGGCGTGCTCAATTGGCGACGGGCGACTGTGAGCGTCATACAATTTCAATTAAGATGAATCAGCCGAGTCACTTCGATCTTATTTCTATCGACTTTACTCAGGTCTCTTCTTTGTAGCTAAACTCGTATACACTTAGTGTACATTTTTGGAATTTAAAAAGAAACAGATATATATCTGTGATTTGTAAAGAAAAGAGAAAAACAACTAATGTAAGCTAGTTCAGCCAGTTCAGCTACAAAGAATAAACTACTTGATTAGTACGCAAGCCAACATTGATGATGCATTTCGCTTAAGATAAGCCTATTAGTCTTTTTGCGTTAATATTTGACTTGAATATTTTATCTTTCTATAGAGTTCAGAATACAATCAATGTCTAATGAGAGAACGTATTTTCTGAAATTTATACAACGTTTTCCTATTGGGCATCGACTGCGTTTCAAACTGCATCGAGATAAAAGTGTTCCAACCAAGTACACATAGCGACGGGCGAGAACAATGCAGACGGTTAATGAAGTATGTATGACTTTGTGGACCTTTAAATCAAATTAATACAATATTATTGTCTCTGATGACACGCGCTTGTTTGTAATCGTTGATTAAATGGTGTAAAGTTGCTATTTTATTCAGTGCCAATCATGGTCAGCACTTTTAGAGTCACAACTCAGCCAACACCATAATGTCAGTAGATAACATTTATGAGTTTGGAATTTCGCGCTCTATGTAACATCAAAGTTACTTTCGCGCTCTCGTTACATTGAAATTTCACGCTTCCAGAAAGACATTACAATTACGAAACTATGATATACACTTACAATATATCCGCTAGGTTTTTTATTTTCAAGTTGTATGGCTGGGTATGTCGACTGGGAATGCATGAATACCTAGATGCGTTCGAACAGGAGGATGCCCAAACTAGGAACTCGCATACACTTCTCGAGTCGTCAGGCCAGTTTGAAGTCTGGCTTCTCACTAGAATTTGGGTAGTTCTAAGACCCACGATCCAGGGACCTAAGCCCCTGCAAATCACGCACCTCTCACAGAACGTACACGTGCCTCAGGTCAATTTCGATTCGTCGGAACACAAAGCCACACGTACTTCGAGACGCTTATATCGCCACGTTTCGCACGCTCTTTTCTAAAACCACACATCTCAACACGCCAATTTACAAGTAAGTCTAAGTCTAATTTTTTCACACGTTTTCTATTGCTGAACTAGTGTGCATTTTAAAACTTAAAAAGAGAACTTAAAAAGAGACAAATATACAGATAAAACTTGGTGGAAGAAAGATGAGAGAGAACTAGTGCAGCTAGTTCAGCAATAGAAAACAGATCCATAGTTATCGGATTGAATTTTCGGGATCGATTACGGACGGACGTACGGACAGCGGGTCGAAATGAATCGCACTCGGCGCGCTATTCAACAATTATTTTATTTCATGCCCGATCTACGTCTTTCTCTTTCTCTCTCTTTATCGCGCTCATTATAATAGAAAAGATATTCATTTTTCCTTTGTACCTCGCTTTGGCTTCGGCGGCCGTGGGGAGAGGGGGATGAGAGGAGTCGGGCGATTTAATCGCCGATACAATAATAACATTCCTCTTACAGTATTAGGTAAGAAAAGGGGGGGAGAGAGAGGGGGCTTGATAATCATTTAATTAAAACAATGTCTCGTCGTGTAATTAACGATATTCCGGGGGAGGATTGCTCCGATATAATTGCACGCTTGCTTTAAGTCGATTTATTTATTGTCCACTGTGTACGATTATCTCGTCAAAAGGCGCTCTCGTGGGACGTTTAAATGACCGTTACCTATGGATTGTGAACATTAAAAAAAAAAGAAAATAAAGAGAGAAGAGGGAGTATAACGCGAAATTACACTTACACGCTTAATGGAAGTCAATATTTATCGGATGAGGTGCTTGACTAGAATTAGTGGTTCACTCGGTAATATATTTGCCCGATAAATGCACGCACACACACGTGTATATGTGACTGTGTGTCTGTGTTTTGTATGTGTGTTACGTATCTCTGTGCGTTTGTTACGTAGATACGCGCGTGTACTTTATGCGCAAAGACAATAATAACAATAACGACAACAGCGATTGTGATAACGATTTATGATTTAGACGTTTTTCTTTCTCTCTCTTTCTTTCTCTCTAATACACATATACACACGCACACTCTCTATCTTTCTCTCCCTTACACATTTTCTCTCTTCTTCTTTTCGATTGACAGTAATTGTGAACGATAACGGTAACCGCGAATCGAGGAGCTCAAAGTCCTCGCTATAATATTGTGTTGTCTCCACACAGGCAAACGCGCATTAGCGTTCAATTGTCGATTCCGTTCGAAGGCCGTGGTGTTTGTCTACAAACACTATGAATCTACAATTGTGCCACTTGCTCGTTATTCGTCTTGCTGGTCGTACTAGATGTCAGCGAAATCTCGGTGACCCCCACGGACGTTCGCACCGCCGCTGTCAGGGCGCTCTGTAACGGCACGTTCTCGCTCGTCGCCAATTCGCAGCCTGCGTCTGCAAAATCGACATTTTTGTTAGTTCAATGGGAATCAGTGGGATTATCGAAAGTGGAGTTAATTACGTGCGATTAGCGATGCTCTCGGACGCGAAACATGTTACGGCGTTTAGCTTTCTTGGGAAATATACTTTCAGAATTTCTCACAATTTTCCATCCTTCTATATTTCAACAAATAATTGAATTTTATCTTTGACTTTCTTCTATCTATCTATAAGTTATTGTGTTACTTAGTCATCAATGTCAATTTACTGTTGCTAAACGACGATTCGTTAAATTGATCTCTAAACACGTGTGTTAAAGTTCAGTATTGTCATATACGGTTTTAACAAAGAAAACATGTGAAGATAGAACACATCAACCTAAGCACAAGGATCCTTAGAAAATGTGGGCACGCTCTGGTTGTATAAACAAAAAATGATGAATTTTTGTTGAATCCAACGTTGACCCTTTTGAATCGAATTAATCCCATTAATCCCTTTGAAAGATAACAAATTATTTTGTGTGTGTGTGTGATCGTGATTAATTTACAAATGAAAGTTCACAAGGATTATTGGAAAAAGATAGAAGAGTAGAGCTCTAGAGCATTATGGAGATACCAGCATGAACGTATATATGCGCGCGAGAAACATATTATACGGCGCAGAGTCTCTTTGGTACAATCGCTCTTCAAATATTAGCCCATACCGCTGCGGCAAAACGATTGGAGCTGACAGCAGGGAGCGTTTTCGCATGACTTTCCTATATTACTCGGAATGACTGAGAGAATGATTGATGGCTCTGCGCGCACGGTTACGCTATTCAACGATTCATCGGTAATACAAGCATCGTGAGACCCGACGCGACCTCACTCGCACGAAATTGTGTTCTTGAATAATATCTAGCCGTACTTCTAGTCCCTCTCGCTCTCGGGGAACCCGGAGCAAGTGGATGTCACGTTAATACTCGGCCCGGGAGAAAATGTCAAAGGAGGGAAGCAAGTAAGTGCATGTGGAACGTACTAAGGCACTTAGCCGCTCTTCGCTGCTCTTCGCCAAGTCATCCAAGTATTAACATAATATGTCGCCAGCGCGACGTGAAATAATTGAATTTTGCATTAAGCGCCGCTCTCTTCCCGTTTTCATTCGCGAGACGGGAAAACCACCGTCGCTGATCACGTAATCCCTATTCGTACCGCGCTGACGGTGGTGGTTGTGTGATACAGCCGCGGGAGACAATGTGGCGTCGTATCGCCGAAATAATTTCCTACGAATAATCTACTTATGAATACGCGCGTGTACAAAGGACCTGCGGCGGGTGGCGCGTATTAACTTAATCATTTAGCACCGCTTAGGACGAATCATCCTGACGTGATAACCTGCTTCCGCCCTACCATTAACGCGCGTGCTCTGTAATCCTGCGTAATTGCGCAACGCTGGGCCACGTAAATCCGGGCGGTAATCACGAGAAATGCCAACAACAGCAGCCATTTCCGCGTGGCGGGATCAACAATATCAATTCGCGATTGATATCGGCTTGAGAGTCTCAAGACGAAACGGATGCCAACAAAATCTCAGCGTTTCCTTTGAGCGACAGAGAGAGATAGAGAGAGAGAGAGAGAGAGAGAGAGAGAGAGAGAAAGCGAGAAAGAAAAAGCGAAAGAGAGAGGAGTGGGAGGGATGCGTTACGAATAAAGCGTTTAATAAACTAAAAGCTTCCATTCCGTGGTAAAATGCTCCCTTTCCTCTCTCTCTCTTTCTCTCCCCCTACACCCGTTATCCACCCTCCTCCTCTTTCCCGATTGCCCCAGATCCCGGTCAGAAAGTTACATCGCCGCGCGTTACTATCGAATATCATGCCATCGTGTCCGTCCGCGTATCGATTACTTTCTTTCGCGAGCGAGAGCGCCAAGCGACGCGGCGATTTTGCGACTTTGCATCAGGACCTCGGCGTCGGATTTCTCGATATGTCACGAATCGCAATCAAGGTCGGATAAGCTGTCCAGCCTTCTTAAAGCAGTCTCGAAAACAAGTGCCTCTTTGATGCTGTTTTGTCAGAGTGTGGGAAGTTTGTGAGGTTTCACGGTAAGAGATATTTCTTCGCACTCGAGCCTTCCCTCAAGTTATAACCGATTGAAAGGACCAGGATTGCAAAAAAGATTTTGATTAAATCCCACGCCCGTTTGTACTTTCTAAAGGATCCAGTAATAATAGAGATATATTTAGATTTTCTGAAGTCAATTAATTTTCCTGCTCTTTTGCAGTTATGTAGTGTTGATACATAACTATATATTCAAAATAACTTTTAGTTTTAGTGACGAAAGACCCAACAAAATCCGACATTGTATTCTATACGAATTTCAATAAGGAAGAAATGTTGCAAAAGTGTGCAAGTCGATTTGTTCATTTCTTGGCAAAAGTGTTATATTATACGTTGTGCGCGCATTTTGATTTAAGCGGTTTAAAAGTAGTGATTTTAATCTGATTGACAAACAACGCTTTGGAGACTCTTGAAAGTGTAACATGATTTAAAGCAACTGCTCGCTAAGAATTCAGCACAAACGCGAAAAGAAATTACAGAGCAGTTGGAGGTAACGCAGCAAACCATTTTCAAACACCTACACAAATGGGAAAGATTCAAAAAGTAGGAAAATGGATTCCGCATGAACTCATTGAAGCCCATAAAAATCAGCGAGTGAGAGCATGTTTTTCTTTTTTCGGTAAGCAACGTGGAAAGTCTTTCTTGTGAAAAATCGATATGGGCGATGAAAAATGGATACTCTATGACAATGCGAAAACGCAAAAAGTCATAGGTAAATTCCGATGAATCATCAACCAATCAACATCAATCGCAAAGCCCAAATGCTTCGGAAAGAAGATTCTGCTCTGCATTTGTACGTCTGATACGAGACGAGAAACATTACTTTTAACATTCGCGATAAGATCAGCGCAACCATCTCAACGTATCTCGGATAATTCACCGTGAGAAGATCTCACCAACTCCCTCTATTTATTATTACTTAACGGAGAGAAAAGAAAACGCCTCAACCGCGACATAGCCCGAAACGGTCATCACCGATCGCGGTCTCATATTTTGACATGGAGGACGCACCCGCGCCGCTGCTCTGCTTCTTGAACGTGCTGCCCATGTAGACCTTGCCGCGGATATTCTTGTCCGGCTGGAAGGCGATGAGGTAGACCTTGGGCGAATAGAGGCAAACCAGGGTAACGGACGCGCTCAGGCTGATTGCCACGCAGAGCGTCGTGATTTGCGTCTCGTGCGCGTTCCCGGTGCCAAAGTAGATCGGCACGAAGGCCAACCAGATGATGCATGTGGTGTACATGGTGAAGCCGATGAACTTGCTCTCGTTGAAGTTCTCGGGGATCTTGCGCGTCTTCACCGCGTAGATGGTCGAGATGAGGATCAGGATGGCGTTGTATAGCTGGGAGAACAGGAAGCTCATGTCCTGGATGTTGCACTTGAGGATCACCTGCCGGCGGTCAGGGTAGGAGAACCTGGTGCCGGGTGGCTCGATGATCATCCAGACCAGCGTGAGCACCACCTGGAATTGGAACGAAGTCTTTCTCCCTCTCGACAGGCTAAGCGAAAGCTACGCGAAATAACGTGAAATAATAAAAGTGCTCACCGAGTTCGTGACTAGGATTAATTATTAAATTACTGGCCGCAGCTGAGTAATTAACGCGAAGAGTCGAACGAGAGCTTCGCTTCGCGGAAAGTGCACACCTAATTTACCAAGTTTACTTAGAAAGAAAAAAAGATTTTTTTCAATTACATTACTGGAAAGCAAACTCGCGCGAGGCAGTTTAATTGACCTGTGTTCAGGTCGTTTCGAGATAAATATCCGGTTACCTATTTCGAGGAGCGATGATGTAACTTACTGGTAGTCGCGTTTGTCTTACGACCAAATATTTAAATTTGGATGCGCGTATATACTGCTACGCCTCCCTCTGAAATTTCATAATGAAATTCCTGGAAGTATGATGTTCGAAACAAAATGGCACATCTACTCACTCGAAGTACAGTTTGTTTTCTCACGTGCGCTGAAATATCTAACAGTCTCGTGCATGACGTATTCTCGTCGTTATCGCGGCAAAATTACAGCGTCTCTCGCTCCATAAAGTCATAGCGAGTGTCGCAGAGACGAGTAGCGTTCGGGAAATTGGAGTCGATTTGACTTTATAATGAGAAAGCAAAGAGAAGATAAAGGGCAAGGATAATAAAGGAATCCCGGACGCGCGTCTGAGGACTTCAACTTCGCCGTAGATGCTCGTTGCCTCCCAAGAGGCAACTTCACCTTAAATCAGATCAGTCTATAAGCGTGTCACTCACCTGAAAGGCGATCAGCGCGGCCGCGATGCAAACCTGCGAGGTGGGACTGATGTATCGCGGCCTGACGGCGGACCTTGAGGCAGAATCGAAGATCCTGGCGATCCTGTTGGTCTTGGTGAGCAAGGCGCCATAAACGGCACTAAAGCTGACGCCAACGCCGAAGCGCTGAAGCACACAGGTCGCCGTAGTCGGCGTAGCGAGCAGCAGGAAGGTGTTTAAGTAGCAGACGAGCACTCCCGCTAACAGGATCACGGTCAGTTCTCGTCCGGAAGCTCTCACCACAGGGGTGTCTCGATGCTGGAAGAGCAAGCAGGCCACCGCCAGGGTCGCCACGATGCCTAAGCAGGAGATCACCGCCGGGGCGATGGCGAAAGCGCTGGTCCATCTGTCGAAAGTAGAATCGAATGCGTCATTACTGATTTTAATTATTTTTAATTATTATTAACTTTTGTTAATAATCTCTATTAATTTCAATATATCAATAATGTTGGTCTCAACTACTATAATATTCATTAATTAATTATACAGAAATTAATCCGAGACCTTTAGGAAACAAGAGAAGAAACAACTGTGATTTAATTAAGACTCCGAAATCGTTTCGTCATACGTTTCTTGTTGTGTAGCAATGCAACTATGTAATCATTGCTATCAAAGGGTTCAAGCGCAGTAATAGCGCTCCGTAACTTGAGGCGAAGGAGAGCCCGAGGAGAGACCCGTGCAAATGAATCTTCCCTCGATTGTAGCTTCTACCATCCCGAAGGCGTGTGAACGCCCTTTGATATTCGCTGTAATAATCGCAGGTCACAAGGCACCCCAATGATTGCATCGAATGAATGCCAAAGGCCGTACACGTGCAAAACATTATGCCATTTATCTCGGCGTCTTTTTATGTCAATAGCTTCGATCGGTTTCACAACGGCTCCGTGTTGCGCCGCGCCTTTAAGTCCCGACAGCGAGATATTGCGTGGACACACCTGATATGCTTGATCGGCAGCTGGTAGCACCCCCTCTTGTCGGGGTGCGGCCAGAAGCCCGGGCCGCAGTCCATGCAGGTGTACTCGTCGTAGACGAACTCGTATGCCTCGCATTGGTCGCACACCCAGCAACAAGTGTCACCCTGTTGCTTCTTTATCATACCTGGCTCGCAGGGCAAGGAGCACGCGGAGATCGGTATGTCCTTCGTGCCCCGCGCCCACACCATCTCCTCGGTGCGAATGTCCAGGGAATTGTACCACTTGCCCACCACCTGTCGACAGCATTTGGCACACGTGACAGATCAGCGAGTCCCGACATTGCCCCGCGCCAATCTTGCCGCGCAAAACGATAATTTCATTCATAATCTGGAAGCTGGTCAAGTTTGCCGAGTCCCACGAGTTTCCAATTAATCGCGCGCGTGCATCCGAGGAAAAGAGAGAGAGAGAGAGAGAGAAAGAGGTGATGGAAGAGGGATAGAGAAAGAGTTTCATCTCGTCTTGGCACGGAGTCGAGAGTCTCGTTTTACCTTCACGATTCTCACGGGTGTAAACGCGCTTTCCTCTGAAGTTTCATTTCTCTCTCTCCTCTCTCTCTGCGAAGTAGCCGCGGTGCGGCTTTAATTGCTCGTGCAAAAAAGGCAGAGATCTCTCGCGCACTCGTTTCGATTCACGATTCATCGATCGAGGCGCGGAGGCTCTAAGATTTTACACGCGTATCTTTAAGCGATGAGTTTAAGAGAGCAGACGAGAATCGAACTTTGCGAAAAACGAGACTTCTCTAAGAGGGAGGGAGTCTATCGATGGAAATTTCCTCCTACCGTCTCTCTCGCTCTCTCTCTCTCTCTCTTTACTTTCGTCTCCCGGAGTGAGATTCCAATTGAATTTATCGTCTCGCGCCAGGAGACAATCATTCAATTATGCATCGGCGATAATGCAGCCGTGTCATGGCGATCGCGGCGTCCACTGAATGAGCCTTACCCGATAGTGATAGCCGTTTGCCCCATTGTGACTCGTCGCCTTTCGGAAATTGAGAATCTCGTATCTCGCCAGACCGTCACCGTGCTCGTCGAACTTCACCTCGCTGCCGGCGGAGTCTGCAAAACGAGTCTGTAAACTGTTGATTTCCGTTCGGGACACGAGTTCCGCAGATGATTCTCGCACGCACCAGCCGTCGCCGTCGTTGCGGCGGCCTCGGCTTCATCTTTGAGTTCGAATTAGCGATCGAGCCGGGAGAGAACTCGAGAGGCCAGCGCGATGTCGCGAAATCGCGTCGGCTCTAGAGAGAACGGATGAAGGACTATTCACCGCGATAGAGAATTTTGCACGTAGTATTTTTCACAGAGGGATTCACCGGATATATCTATTTTTCGAGTATCTCCGTCGATTACACACGTTTTATTCGAGCGAACGAACGGCCGGCCGACCGATGAGTTCGATCGTTTAACAAAATACCTGCAAAATGTGAATTTCATTGTGCACCAGCTCCGAAACGATTCACGCGCTACTGTTCTTGCCGCCGGCGCACCTCTTTTCCTCGGAAATGCAATGTTAGAAGCGAAATAATAGCTGTAGGGCGATGCAACGCAAAAAACCGATCGCGGATCTAGGAAATAAAGGACGTATGCGTTGCGAGACGGAATTTTCTACGTATATTTTCACAGAGAAAGAAAGAGAAAAAGAGGCAGGGAGAGAGAGAGAGAGAGAGAGAGAGAGAGAGAGAGAGAGAGAGAGAGAGATATCGGATATCCATCTATTTCGAATATCTCTGTCGACTGCACTCTGTCCGACTTCCACTCGACGAGAGCGATCGACAGTCGGGAAACTTAACACATTTAACGACACGCGTTTCCACATGAGTCTCTGTCGAATTCGAAGCGCAAATAAACGTCGACGCGCCCTTCGGGACTCACCCAGTTCGGGTGACACCACTTAAAAAAATGCTCGGTGTAAGGTACGAGCGCTTTGCGTGCGTTTCCTACACGAGGTCGTCGTGACGCGTGTGCACGCGTGTACGTAAAATAAATCAATAGAGGGAGAGAGAAAAAGGGAGGAACTGGACGCGTTCGTCCGATCCGATTCGAGATATCATGCGGTGTTACGGCGCATACCACTGCCGCGACCTCGCACATGTCGAAAGAAGAAAAGAGAAAAGGAGAGAAAAAAGAAGAGAGAATTCGCGTTTCCGTATCGAGCGAGAGGACATGGTGCAACATTTCAAGGCGTCGCGGTAATTGGTCGAATTAAACGGCACGAGTTCTTGGAATTCTATGTATGGCGGGGAGGAGATTTGACGATATTGAAAACGATCGCGGGATATCGTACGATTGCTTGGGAATATCAGGATCTACGGTCGAACCACGGTTGACTTCCTCCCTCCCCCCCCCCCCCCCCCCCC